TTGCTAGCTTGACTCCTGACTTTCTCAGGATACACAGCAAGTATATGGGCATGGGTAAGGAGGGGACAAAAATTTAAGATTCTAAAGAAGTCTTTGCTTTACAAGAACAGGCTAGAAGGGCCATTCTTTGGGTTGTTTTTTGTTTGTTTGATTTTATGTATGTTCTCTGTTTGCTTTTTGCTTTGGCTAGAATTCCAAAGGAGAAAAATTACTGTCTCATAATAACAGCTGATAACAGTGAGGACTTTCTCCTCCAGCTGTGGGATGCCAAAATATCTCTGCTCATAATCCTTCACAGCTACTGCTTGTTGAACGCTTGGGACAACTCTTCAACTGAAAGGTCCACATGTCTTTTAAAAATACAAAGCTGTCACTACCTTTGGGCCACGTATTTCCTTTACAACTGTCCTACATGACAAAATATCAATCACACAGCCACAGAGGAACAAGCCTGTTGAGGATCAGCAACATTAACTGAGGAGGAGTCAATCAGCCATTTGGGTGGTTTCTGAGTGCTTGTTTGTACCTGATTCTAGCAGTACTGTAAACTGATTTTTCATAATGCTATAGGGCTTAAGATAGCCACAGTTTAAAAAAAAAAGAACTATAAAAAGACACTCTCACTTGCCATCTAAAGTCAGAATTAGTACTGAACATTATAAAATGGAATGATTTCATTGCTTAAAGTGCTTTACTTTTCAGTGCATTTGCTGAAAAAAAAAACAAGCAAGCAAAAAAACACAAGCAACCCAGGTACGCTGTAATTAGCAGTACTTTGTGTAACAGCTGATTCTCCTGGTTTCATTCAATACACATCACTACACCAAACCAGAAGCAACTATGATGAATGCAGTCAAACAGGACTGCATTATACAAACACATGGGATTATCCAGGTGAGGTCCAAAACAAGGATGTGCTGCAGGACTAACTGAAAATGAGTAGGCAGTCAGAGTGAAGGATTGTGAATGACAGCAATAGATTTCTACCACCATTTCATAACCTTGTTCTTGAACTTTTTGGGGCAAATTTGTTTGGAAACTTAAGTACTACACAGCCCTTAATTCCAAAGCCTTACTGGATTTTCCTAGGAAGTTTTAGCACAGCCTTAGTATTGTCATCATGTTACATTAGATTGGTAAGGTTAATAACATTTTGGATTAGGCAACCTGAAAAAAGGCAGAACAGGGGCAGAACAGGAGCTTAGACATTTTCTTCCTTGGCCTAAACAGGCCCTACAGGGGAGTTTTATGCCTTCCTGTCCTGGCCTCACATAATACACTTTAATTTTTCTTCAGAAATACTGTCTGTTTCTAGTGCTGTCCATATACACAGTCTTGATCTTTTCTTACAAGTGTGTGTGCAGCCATATATACATGTAACACTTCAGTTGTCTTATCACCTGTGACCTCCACGTTATTAACTTACGGAGATTCATGATGAAAAGAGGTACTTCTTTCAAATAAACAACAACAAAAAATGGGTCACAAAATCTAAAACAAAAAAAACATATTTGGAGGAAAAAAAAAAGTCACGTGTTTTATCTGTTTAAAAAGCTTTTCAACATCAGATCACAGCGTGCCAAAAGGCTGTGGGTCTGATCTTGTGCCTAAACAAACAATGCACAAAATGCTGGATTCTGCTGGCAGCTCTAACGAAATATGAAGAATGAGCCAAAGAAAACAGTACTGTTCTGCTTGTGTAAAGATGGCAGAATCCGACTCATAGAATGAAGTAGCTGGAATATTTTATTGCACTTTAGACAGAAAGTGTTTAGCAATTTATTATTTGAATTTCAGAATTTTTGAGGCTAAATCATAAGGAAACCAGAAGTCAGAACAGTTCATGCAATGACCTTGTTTGAAATTTAGCTTAATCTCAAAGCTGGAGTATAAGCATTTGCTACTTGCATAGTGGGGCAGGTCCCCCTTCACACAGCTATTGCTATTAAAACATGAACGAGCAACTGAGAAAGGGTAGAATCTGTGGGAAAAAACTGTCAGGAATGTCAGGCAAGAAACCTAGGTGTTAGTCTTGGCCCTGATGTGAAGTGTGTATGTCTCTCTCTCTCTTCAGGTATGCCATGTAGTCTGCCTGTGGTTGAACTTCTCTATTTTATATTCACAAATCTTACCTCACAAAACTTCTTGGAAAGCAAGCTGGTACAAGAGAAATTTGGACACTGTAACAGCAGCAGACTAACTCACCGGTACGCCAGGCATCCCTCGAGGACCATCTTTGCCGGTATCTCCTGGGGGACCTCTGGGTCCTGGAGGCCCTGGAGGCCCAGGGGGTCCAGCTTGTCCTTGGTCCCCCTAAACCAACAAGAAAACCTATCAGAAGTTCACTTTAAAGGCATCAACCTCACGACACCGATTAATCTAGAAAAAGTGGAAGACTAGCTGGAAGCAGCTGCCATAAGTTGGTCACTGGTTTTTCCACTTACAGTAGAGATAGCACTTTCCCTCAAGAGCAGCATGTTGTACCTGTCAATATCTGCAATCAGCCGCAGAGCAGGAGGTTCAGATTCTGAACTGCTTGTCCTGCAGCAGGACTTGCACCAAAATTTGGAGCAGCCTAGCAATCTTTTACTTATTCTGTTTTCCAGAGCAAGTAATTGTTTTCATCAAGAAGGCAAACTGTTTAAGATTGGCATGACCTCAACAAAGTTTAGTTTTAAAAAAAAAAGTCTTTGTGTGAACTGTGAAGTTTATACAGCATTTTTCTAAAGCCCATTGGTGATGCAGAAGCATTTAAAAGTGAGGATGGAAAACAACTGCTTTTCCAAAAAGTTGTACACAATATGTAAGCAGTTCTATGGTGCCATTTGATAGTGATAACCAGCCAACTCCCCTAACGACTTAAACCTATTAATTTTTAAAAGCTGACCACAGCATTTTAAGTGATAAATTTCACTAATCGTTTCATTCCAAAACATTTTCAAATGAACAACCTGCTATGAGAAGGCATCTGACAAAACGGTACAGCAAAGAGTAAATCGAACGTAAAGAAGAACCAGAGTCCAGCAAGATTAAGCACTACCTTAATGAGGCGGCGTTTAATGAGCTGCTGATCAGCAGAGAGAAACCCATGATTGATTTTAGGAAACACCATCTGATCAGGCAGGTGAGGTCAAAGGTTGAAGATCAGAGATGAGAGAGTTGAAGAATAGACATCAGAAGGCCCGAGAAAGAAATAAAGATATATTCATTAGATTTATAATAAATAAAATAATATAAACTGGTGCTTCTGTCTGACAGAAACTGTGCCTTTTCTACTGAAGAAAATAACCTCTCATTAGACTGGACAGGATGTTTTATTACTGATAGATTAATCACGTACAGCGAGTTAACCATGAATCTTCACAGATTTCTTGTGAGAATTCCTCATACTCAAATTTTCCATCATCCAGGCTCCAAAAAAACATTTTTTCTTGTTTTTTTTTTTTCAGCAAAGCTTCTAGAGACAAAGCACCAGTTCAACTTTCAGTCAGACTTTCCAACCAGCATATTGTGCCATGAAGAATGGTGGCATTTAAGTAAGGACTGAAGTCCCAGCTTAACCAAATTGCTTCAACTCTTCCTGCTAATTTGCAAATGCACTTTGAAAAATCTGTATGCACAGATTGAACCTCTGAAGCATATCAAACAGATAATGGACTCTACGTATACCCAATATACAGTTCACAGTCATTTTCCACACTCCTGCGTGCCTCAGTAAAGCGTAACTACAGCAAAACCTCATCTAAATATAAAATACTGATCCAGAGCACCTGGAATGTGGGTGCTGCATGGGGTAACCCTGTCCACAATTACAGTTCGGTCTCATGCTCTGCATTAGAAGAACTTACACCCATCCAAAATCAGTGAGAGTTGACTTCATGTGCACTTTTATGCTGATAGAGAGACCTGACTGAACAGGTACATGTCAGCCACAAACCTTGACGGTGAGGATCTGATTACTTTGCAGAGCAGCAGCTGTGGGGAAGCCTGGCAGACCCTAGGGACACAGCATAACATGGTACCAAAACAGCACAACACAAACATCACAGAGACAATTTACTAACAGACAAACAAAACAAACACTACATTTAGTATGTCCCACATATCCTACTGACAGGTAACAGCTTCTCTGTCATATGGGAAACAGGATTAGGTTTGTACTACAGTTCAAACAAAAATTATGGTTTTATACCAAAAATATAAAGAGATTTCAGAAGGCAAGTCTCACAGAGGTGACTTTCCTTAATATTGAAAGGAAGTGTTATGACCATTTGACAATTGTTAGGCTACCAAGCAGCTGAGTGATTTTCAGTTAAAATTACTTAGAGGGCTATGTAGAAAGCTTTGATTCTGCATTACTGCAAAACTTGACAGCAGTGACAACAGATTTTGAAGCACTTTGTATAATTACCATCCAACTCCTCATGTTCTGTTTAACATATGACATTCAGCACATAGACTGGTAATACGTATACAATTATAAACACTGAACAACACTACTACTAAATCTAGGATATTCCAGAATGGCCAAGTTCAATATGTTAAATCTATACACATAGCAACATTTTCTTATCCAGGGCAAATTTTTCCCCTTCAAACACTGTATGGTACATACGGTTTCTAATCACCTGTCTATTAACATGTGCAGAACTTGTGCCATACTGATACAGGCAAAGAAGAACTTTATAACCATGGGCTACCAAGAAGTGAATTTTGCTCTCAGCTCTGCACTTCTCTTACACTGCCTTCGAGGATGGGGTTTAGACCTTTTAATAAAGCAGAAGCCTTCGGAGGGTGAGTGGTACACACAGAGAAATCCCCAGCCTTGGGGATTTCAGCCTTGTCTTTCACAGACTTGTCTGTCTGAAGCAGAGGCTCTCAAAGGCTCATTCATGGAAAGCCAAGCCACGGCAGCAAGATACCAGGCTGAGGAACAGAGCATAAAGCATAGCCTAGTACCTCTAAGCTGCCTACATGCACGCAGGTACCCCACAACCTCTGTGAGGAGGCACGGACGGCATAGTCCTTGCTGGGAGGCCTTGCACACATGGCAGCCAGGGTGCAACTTGGCAACTCCAAACAGGGAGGTTGTGCAGGCTGCAACTGCCTGACCCAGTGATTTCTAAGGAGTCCTGCATCAGTGCTGTGCCAGGCGATATGGGGCACTACGGCAGATGAGCCCTTTGCAAGCCGCAGCTGGCCAGAGAGCTGCGCCATGCGGATGCCTGGCAGAAAGTGCCCACAGGCAATAGCTGCAACAGGTTCTTCCAACATATCAAACACGTGCTTTACTTGAACACCCCTTCTACAACATCAGTGATCCTTTTGTTCCCAAAGATTATGTTGATCTTTACAAAAAAAAAAAAAAAAAAAAAGGCATAGCAAATTTCTGATGCAGCTAGCATGTCCTTCACTGGTGGATCTCAGAGGCTTTCAGCAGATTTATTCCTCATGTACCCCAGTGAGACAAGGGGAAGCTGAGACCCTGTAGGTAGGAAGCCCATGGAAGTTTTACCAGCTATCCCACTTCTTCCTGACAAAGTGAGGTGTGGCTAAATACATTTCACCTGAAATCTCTTCCTGACCTGAAATGTCCTCCTTCAAACCAAATGAAACAAAAAGAAAGCAGAACCAAAAAAGGCTAAAACTCCAAACATTTAAAGAAACACTCCTGAAACATTGCTAAGACTGGAACAATGCATCATTTAGAAAACAGATGTATCAAATTTGCATTTATCTTATTATGGAATATAAGTTAAAGAAGTTATTAGATGGTCGTGTGCCAGAATCTTTACATCTGTGACTCATTATTACTGCTGTGCACATCATCCGTCTCTTCTCAATAAAACTACAATACTCATGTACTGAAAATGAACACAAACAAGAAGTCTACAAAAGGACAAAAACCTGAGCACTAAGCAGTAAATCTTAAACCTCCTTTATTAAAAAAAAGGATAAATATAAAATCTTTTAACCATTTCATATTTTTTTTATTCATCGGCCTTTAGCACTGCAACATGGTAACTTTCTTACTTATCTCTGAATAAATGTATTCAGATTTTTTAAGGAAATTCAAGACACATTAGGTTTGATTTATTTAATTTTGAATATGAAGAGACCTAAATATTAATTAGGAAAAGAGTTTAATCTGAAAATATACCATTTTGTGAGGAAAAAAAAAAGAAGAAATGGAAGTATTTTGACAGTTTTGTGCAGCTCCACCAAGAGCATTCACACCAAGCACTTCCCATTCCATATCCAGCCTTCCCAATACCACACGCACAAGCTCAAGAGCATTTACAGTATGGTAGCCTTCTCTCTGTATAAGCAACACCTGAGAACAGGGGACAGCTCTGCTTTTCAACAATCACTTAGAATCTTCTTTCAACTTGTTCCCAGGTAGGACAAAATTTTTATTCCTTTGCACAACTGCAGGCCTAATCACAGACTTAATCATCACAGAAATTTAATGCTAACATGCTAACATATAATGCTAATATCATCTCCCCATATGTAACATGTATTTGCAGAAGACCAGAAAGATGGAAATACTAAATGGAACCCAGCAAGGACATTATAATGGGTGCATAGTTTTTGCATGTGTGGGAGGCTTTAGAAGGCAGTGCATCTTCTGGCATCCATGAGAGATAATGCTGGCATACAATGAGTTTCTAAAAGGGCATAAAAAGAGCCATCCTCTCCATAAAATGAGTTTTCTTCCTTTCCTGTCAGTCTGCTATAAATATAGCCAATAGTCCCTAGGCCTTTTTTATTTTTTCTCAGTTTGAATTCATCATTAAGAACAGCTTTAAAGTTACTCAATTTTCTCTTTATTTGGTCTGGTTCTTGAACCGCACAGAGGAAGGGCTCTTGTTCTACACGCTGGGAAGTCCTTGCACAATACAAAACACCAGAATGATCAACAGCGACCACTGAACCACTAAATTCTGCTGCTGACAAATCATCCTCACCCTGATGTGCCAGTTGGTTACATTTTCTAAATTAACACACTCGTGGCACTGCTTCCAGGAATGTCTGCCCAAATGCCCTCATCAAAGCAGGATGTTTGGTGGAGGCGAACAGATCTGGAGCTATATAACAGTGCACTGCCTACCCACTTGGAAACATATGGAAATCCTACTCATTCCCATTCCCATACGATGGCCACTGAGAAAACTGGAGGATGACAGAACATATCATTCCCTCCATTTGATTTTGTGCATCTGTCTACATGAGGTTAATGTCATAAAAACATAACTACCTTACTGTATAATAAGTAAGCAACATTCAGCATCAGCATTACTAGTTTTACACTATGCTGCACATACTCCGTTTTGACTATTGCATTTGCTTACTTCAGTGAATGTCACAAGCCTCCTTAGGATTTTCCTTCCGACCTGCCAATAAATCCAAGCTGCACAAGCTTATATGTTCCTGTGAAGACATGGCAAATGAGACAGGAATTACCACCTGCTGTTCACTTGCACTTCCTAAGGTTACAGCCAGCTGCTGCTATTTCACATCAAATCACACAGGCTTCAGGCCAGAGTGATCGTGACAATCTTTATGGCCGTTTTTCCTCCCACCAGCACCACCTCAAGTCCTAATTAATCCCTCCGATCAAGCGCCAGTCCTGCAGCTAATTATTGTACCTGCCCTGGGGAATACAGTGTTTGTATCACCCGGTACAGTGCCATGGACTCTCAGTGGGAGCTCTTTTATATAATCCCTTTTATCATAACTCCTGCTTTCTCCATTAGCAAATTTGCTAGCTAAAGCAGAGCACTGCAAAAAGACAAGCATCCAGGAATTTCTTTTCACTTAGGCGGTCATTCAGCAAGGAGTTTTAATTTGCACGCATTATGTAACGGTTCAGGCTTTGTATTAAAATAATAAAAAATGTTTAAGAACTAGCACAGGCTGTCTCTGGCTAGAAAGGGATCATTACTGAAGTGTTATTTTCTATAATCACCTCTGTATTTTTGCAGTGAACTCTACCTGACACAGTACTGCCCTTTCAAAATGAACAAAATCAGAAAAGGCCAGCACTTATCTAGCTGGTGCTAGCATTTGATGAATTTTCAGCGAGAGAAATACCTTTTCCACATATAA